GAGGAATCTCCACACTGATTTCCACAGTGCTGGCTGCACCAGTCTACACTCCCACCAATAGTACAGAAGGGCTCCTTTTCCCCCAATATTGCTTCCTTATTTGTTGTCCACGCTCTCCATGAGAATGTCGGCTGGACTAGTGAATGAGCCATAGATGTTACCAAAACAATACACACAAATCAAACTGATGATTCTGATGCTGCTGCTGTTGAACAATGGATTACAGTGGAGTTTTGATTCCTATCAGGAGCATATAGGTGCCTGCACTGTTGCCTGACAGCCAGACTTCCTACTAGGATTCCAAAGACTTCTCTAACTAAAGATCAGTAATGATCCCACTTGTTTTTGGTAACTAGCTTCTAATAAACCCTCATTTAATAGATGTGATGATCAGCCTTATGCGTCAATCTGGAGTCTACAGCATGTTATTTAATCCAACACTTACCTCAAGGTTGCTGAAGAAATTTTATAGATGTGATTAGCTGCTACCATCAGTTGACTTTAAGAGACTAGCTGGCTGTGGTGGCACACACCTGTGATCCCAGCACTCGGGAGGTTGAGGCAAAAGGACTGCCACAAGTTTGAGGCCAGCCTTGACTATATAGTGAGTTCAACGCCAGCATGAGCTACACAATGAGATCTTGTCTCAAAAAAAAAAAAAGAGGAAGGAAGAAGGGAAAGAAAGAAAGAAGAAAAAAAAAAAGAGAGAAAGAAAAAAAGTAGCCGGGCGTGGTGGCTCCCACCTGTAATCTGAGCACTCAGGAGGCTCAGGCAAGAGGATCATTTGAGTTTGAGACCAGCCTGGGCTGTGAAGTGAGCTCAAGGCCTGCATACAGAGACCCTGTCTCTAAAAGAGAAAGAAACAGAAAGGCCCTCCCGATGTTACCCAAGATGGACTCAAACTTATCTATTGTCCTATTCACTCACCCAGAGTGGTAGGGTGCTTTCCTTGAGGCTCTCGGTTCAGTTCCCAGAAATGCCAAAAATAAAACAGAAAGAATGCACTAACGTATATTTCTGGACCCATTAAAAACTCACCAGGAAGGCTGTCAGACTCCCCTGGAGGGTGACTCATTGGGGCAGCCTTCGACCCTACTGGGCCACAAATGGAACCCTTTCATCCGCTCACCTGTAAACACAAGCACCCTCCACAGAAATTCATTTAGGCAGAGTCAGGCAGATGCTATGACTCACTCGCAGTTGTGTCCCTGGAGACATGGTTCTTTCTCTTTTACTGAGGGCCCCCCAGCTCTTCCCACAGCCTCCTGGCCTTTCACCTTGTAGCATTTACCATTCGATCAACTCCCCCAAGGCACTCACCAAGCCACCCTCTCAGCCCTCTTTATCATCTGGTTTAAATCCCAGAATTTAGCCAGGCATGGTGGTCCATGTCTATAACCTCAGCATTCAGAATGCTGAGGCAGGAGGATCGCACAGAGTTCGAGGCCAGGTTGGACTACACAGAGATCCTGTCTCAAAAAACCCCATAAAAACAAAAGCCAGACATTGTCTTTGACATATTTTTCCCTTCTTTCTGCTATATCCAATATGATAAATTTCTTTGAAATATCTTTTTGAATATGACATTCCTTTTCATTCCATTTATAAAGCTAGCCTCCCCTTACCTCAACTCTGATAACCGAAGGCAGAGGTAAGAAGCCTTTTCCCCAAAGTCCATTTTTTATAACTGATATAAAATAAGACAGTTTTCTTAAAAGTCTATTAAAAGGAAAAAAAGTTAAACTGAAAATAAGGCTATATGAGCTGGACATACATCTTAACCCCAGCACTCTGCTTGTTTGCTTTTTGGTGGGGGTACTGCAGATTGAATCCAGGGCCTCAGGCATGCCAAGCAAGTGCTCTGCCACTGAGCTACATCTCCATCCTTTTTTAAAAATCAACGTTTTTTTTTTTTTTTTTGGTGACTTGAACTTGGAGATCCTCCTGCCTCCATCTCCCAAGTGCAGGAATCATACCCACCTCCAGGTGTGTGAGCACTCTGGAGGCTGAGGCAGGACAATCATAAATTCCAGCCCAGGCAATTTAGCAACATTGGCTTGGCCTGGTGGCACACACCTGTGATCCCCACACTTGGGAGGCTAAGGCAGGAGGATCACTGTGAGTTTGAGTCCAGCATGGGATACAAAGTGAGTTCAGGGCCAGCCTAAACTACGTAGAAACCCTGTCTCAAAAGACAAAAAAAGTTTTAAAAAGTAAAAAAAAATTTTTTTTAAATGTTTTGGGAGACGATTTAGCTCAGCAGCATAAGTGCCTACTTGGCAAGCGCAAGGTTGTGTTCAATCCCCTGTACCAAAAAAAGTTTTGGATTTTTTTTTTAATTTTAAAAAGGAGCTGGGAATATAGCTCAGTCCAAAGACCTTGGGTTTGGCTCCTAGCAAAACAACAACAAAGACTATCTGCAAATACCTTGGAAATGTCATAGATTTACCTTCTGTGGCCCAATCTGTTTCCAAAAGAAATTTAGAGATAAAATAATACCTGTTCATGGGTGTTTGCTTGTTGATTGAGAAAATAAACATCAAGTTTCCAGGAAGGAGGCCACTACGGTCAATTCTAGGGCCTTGAGCATTCCAGGCAGGCTCTGCCCAGCCCTCAACTTTCACCATGGACTTTTTTTAATTGGTACCAGGGACTGAACTCACTATCCCTGCCCACCTTTTTGTTTTACACTTTAAATATTCATAAAATTTCATTACTTCGTCCATTTTACAAAGGAAGGGACAGATCCAGAGACATCAAGGTACATGGATGGAGGTCAACAGGTGGCTAATGGCAGAGGTGGGCTTCCAATCCAGTTCTCAGAAGGGCTGGTTTTAAAAAGTCACAGTACAATTCATACAATCCTCATAAAATCCTTGTCACATTTTCATTCGGGGTATCGCTGTCATTGTTACACTGCCCGACTCAAAATAAGTTTACAAACTGAAATCCGCAGACACAATCTAGTTCCCCAAGTCTGAAAGCCTAGCTTCCCGCAGGATAATAAAGCAGAGAGGCTCTATTTGCATTTTCTTAGTTTCCTAGTAGTTTAAGCTCAGTGGAAAAGAGGAATTCATTAAGAGCAGACGGTTGGTGTTAACCACACAAAGGCTCCAAGGCAGAAGGGACCCTGGGCGACATCTATAATGTGGAAGGGACCCAAGGGAGGCCCCAGCAGGAGCGACACAGACAGTCTGCCCCAGCCAGAACAATGGACACAGATTTGTCAAAACAAAGAATAGTCAAGTGAGGGAACACATTTATCCTGAGCTCGTTATGCTAGTTTATGACTATTTTTCCGTTGGCTGGTTTCCTGTTCACTTCAACCACGAACAAGATTAAACAAAAACCACAACATTATGCAAATCTGTCTTCTACTTGGTAGAAGCAGGGACCCTGTAAACAGTGAATTAACTACAGGGCTCACCACAATCCCTGAGAACACTCTGCAGGAGAATATAACTACAGTAGCAAAGCTGCCCAGTCTCTGTTCCGTGGAAGGGATTTCCAAGACTTTACTGTTCACCAATGACACAACTGTGAAGTTTAATGCTAAGAAAGATTCAAGTTAAACATAATTATTTCAGGCCATGATTACCCTGAGCATATCAATAGAATTTACAGTGCTACACACAACTGCCTCTCGGCTCTCCTACTGACCTTTGGGTAATTCTGTCGATTGCACCCTAGACAGCTCAGCTGAGGAACAGCACAGCTAGAAACGGACTCTATGCAGACCTGGAGTTTAAAGTGCAAGGCTGAAAACACAAGGAAAATACAGCCACATAATGACACCCAGAGCTTTTCTTATTTAAATACTGTATAATTAAAGGGCAGCACCTTTTCCTGCACTGCTTGCTGGCCAGCAGAGGTGAAAACCGCAGCTTAGCTCCTAGGCGGCAGGAGTCCCAGACTTTGCCTTCTCTATGAAGCATTTGCCCGTGTAACGGGCCCGTAAGAGCCACTGTGGTTTGGTTCGGGTGACTCATCACACGATATTAGTCCACCGACAACAGACAACGTACAAGTGGGCTCCTTCCCGCCGCACTCAGTAACCACACAAAGGATCTATCTGCGCAGACCCAACCCTCTCAAGTCACTCAAGCACTCACTGAGGGCACGCCAGTTTTGAACAGAGACCTGCGGGGTTTTTTTCTCCTTTCTTTCGAAATGTTTTTCTTTTTCTTTTTGAGATAGGGTCTCACTATATAGATCTGGCTAGCCTTAAAATTCACTAGTTATCATTAACTCGCGGCAATCCTCCTGCCTCAGCCTCCTGAGCACTGGGATCCTAGGTGTGTGCCACCATGCCTGGCCAGGACTGTTTTAAATCTCTTCCTAGAAACTGCAAGGGTTTTGCACTAACTGCATTTTAATCAATTAGTACGTGATTTTTACGAAAGTCTGTATCCCTCCCAATACGACCCTTTCGGTTTGGGGTGGTGGTGAGTGGAGCAAGTAGTATGCAGCGTCCCATCACTCTGTGACACACTCTGCCTGGCTCAAACCCCAAGCTCCACCCTGAGACATATCGTTACTAAATTCTAAGAATCCAGCAGGTTCCTTGGACGCTGCACCTTGGCTTGAGGCTTGCGGAGGGATCCCGGTGATGCGCGCTGGATCGGGGACGCGGCTGGAGAACTGGGGATCCCGCGTGCTCCAGCAAAACAAAACCAGGCCAGTCCTTGGGGACGAAGCAAACACTGCCCGACCTACCCGGTTCGGCTGACGCCGGGGTCCCCCCTCCGAGTGCCTGGCGAGTGCCAGCGCCCCAGCGGTGAAGGAGCCCGGTCCCTATCTGCGACCTCCGCCCCCGGGCTTGGGGAGCACGCAGCTCCGCAGGCTGCCTACGCCGCTTCGGTTTGCTCCCGCGAAGCCCTGGGTCAGCTGGGACCGGGAGTTTCTGGTGGACGCGCACGGTCGCGTCCGGGCTCACCCACGCCGACTCTTGCACACGCGCGCACGCACACGCGCCCCGCCTCGCCCGCACCCGCACTCACACGTGGCCGCAGCGGGTGCGGACCGGCTGGTGCAGCACCTCCAAGCACACGGCGCAGTCGAAGGACGCGAGCGGCAGCGGGGCTTCGGCGCTGCGCTCCGGGGCGCGCGGCGCGGGGGGCCCGCGGCCGCCGTCGCTGCTCAGCAGGGACCCCATCGCCGCCCGGCGCTCGCTGCCCGCGGTTTTGTTCCTCGGTGGAGGAAGGAAGTCCCGGCCTCGCCGCGACCGCCGCTCCCCACACCCCGCCCGGGTGGAGCCGAAGCCCGGCCCGGGGAGAATTGAAACCCGAAGCCACCCAGAGCGGCCGCGCGGCCGACCGCGAGCGCAGAGTGCAGCCGAGCGCCCTGCGGGTGGCGCTTTATGGAAATGTGAGAACTCCCACGCGGCGGGGCGGGGCGGGTCCTCGGCCTCGGGGCGACCACGACCAGCCCCGAGCTGTGAGCCCGGGACCGCCGAGAGCGCTTCGGCCCTCTACTCCAAAGCTTGCTTTTGTTTCTGGATGGTAACTGGTATTGCACCCAGTGTGTTCGCCTGGAACTAGGCCCACCCCCCACCCCCCTCGTTCTGTTTTTTTCTCTTCCATTTTTTTTTTTGTTTTTCTTTTCTTTTCTCTCTCTCTCTTTCTTTCTTGATTTCTGTCTTCTTTTTCTTTTCTACTTGCTTGCTTGTTTCTTTCGACGAGGTGTCGCCGTGCAGTTCAAGTTGGACTTTATTCCGAAATACTCCTGCCTTAGTCTCCAAAGTGCTGAGACTACAGGTGTATAGCTACCACATCTAACTTCAGCATTTTATTTTATTTATCGGTACCAGGGATCGAACTCACGACCCCGCGCTTGCAAAGCAGGCGCTTATGCCGCTGAACTAAATCCCCAGCCCCTAGCATTTTATTTTTAATATTATTTAAAAAAATTTTTTTTGTACTGGGGATCGAAGACCTCGCGTTTGCCAGATAGATGCTTATGCCGCTGATCTAAATCCCTGGCTTTAATTTTATTTTGAGACAAGATCTCACCAAATTGCTGAGCTTAAAGGTAGGATCTACACATCTGTAATTCCAGCACTTAGGAGGCTGAGGCAGGAGGATTGCCAAGAGTTCAAGGCCAGCCTGGGCTGCGTAGTGAGTTCAAGGTTGATCTGAATTTTACGGCAAGACCCAGTCTCACAAACACAAATAAAAATTTAAAAGGATCTTTCTTCCTCAGCTGCCCAGAGTGCTGGGATTACAGGCACAAAACATACTCGACACTCCATTAAGGGAGAGGTATAGTTCTGAAAATCCAGATTCCAGTCCCAATTCCAGGCTCGAGATTGCCTTTCCTGTTTGTGTGCTTCCGCCAGCAATCCTCTTTCTTTTTTTTATATTTTAAAGAGAAAAAAAAGATAGACAAACAATGAAACCGAGTTACTAAACAGGTTAGTCAGACAGTGACAATAGTTGATACATTGCATATTGTTGTCATGGTAGTAGAGTACAGGATATAGGCATAATATCTTGTCTAAACAATATGAGCACAAAACATTTGCAAGGAACAAATAGAATCTAGCTGTATTGTTATCTTACCTATCTCGTGTGTGAGAGTGTGTGTGTGTGTGTGTGTGTGTGTGTGTGTGTGTATTCACCCCCACCTTTCTTTCTCTTCTTTCAGACAGGACCAAGGAGTGAGTGTCATGCACTGAGTCACCTGTTTAATGAGACTATGTCTCAAAACCCTGGAATAGTGGTGCATGCCTGTAATCCCAGAATTTGGAAGGCTGAGGCAGGAGAATTGCGGTGAGTACAAGGTCAGCCTAGACTAAATGAGACCCTGCCTCCAAAAAACAAAACAACAACAACAAAAACAGACTGTGTTTCAGAATGAGTTTTCAGCGTTCTGAAAGGGTCACAGAGTTTACTTTGAAGAGAAGTTTGAGATGATCATAGACATGCAGCTCTGAGGAATAATACATGAGACACACATCGAATGCAGATTGCATGCAACAATCCATAAAAACACAGGTATTACCAAATAACCCCCTTGTAGGTCACCCAGTTTCCCTTGGGCTTTTCTTGTAATGAGAACATATAATCAATAGATAAAAAAATGAACAAGATCATTTCAGGTAAGAACTGAAAAATAGGGAGTAAGGAAATGTAGGAAATAAAAAGATCAGAGAAAGCCAGGTGTGGTGGTGCCTACCTGTACTCCCAGCACTCGGGAGGCTGAGGCAGAATAACCGCTGCAAGTTTGAGGCCAGTCTGGGCTACAAAGTGAGTGTAAAACCAGTCTGAGCCGCATAAGTGAGACCCTGTCTCAAAAAGGCAAAAAAAAAGTAACAAACAAAAAAAATTCTAGATAGAATGACATTTGAGAATAAAGGAAAAGAGTCTTTCCTTTTAAGAGTTGGCAGAATCTTGGTAAGCACTGGGGACACAGAGTGGAGGGTGTGGTGGGGATGTGGAGGGGAAGGTAGAGTGGGTGAAAGACTGAAAAATAGTCCTTCCATCTTACAAAGAAAAACAGACGCATCTCCCATCCCACTGCTGTCCAGAATCCCACTCAAGGCCCGAACTCCATCTGGTCCTTCACCTTCACATCTCCTTTTCCTAATCACCCACTCAGTCCGTCACTCTAGAAATGGCTGAGTCAGGGGTTTCACTGGTGATACCCTGTGGCCATTCCCAACTCATCTTTCTAAAATGAATTCATAATTTTAAGAAGTGTGGATGGGCAGGGCGAAGTGGCCTACACCTATAATCCCAGCACTGGGGAGGCTGAGGCAGGAGAATTGCATCGAGTTCAAAACCAGCCTGTGCTACATAGTGACACCCTATATTTCCCCCACAAAATGTTGAAGGAATGCAAAACATGTTCCCTTTTTTAAAGGAGCTTATTGGCAAAATCTTAGTGGAAACCAAATATTCTTATAAAGTAGGGTAAATTTATTCAACAACTGGGTAAAGCAGTGTTTTAAAATTTTGGCTGTATTTCGTGAAATAAAAAACTACAGTCAGATGTGATGTCACATGCCTGCAATCCCAGCTATTGGGGGGTTTAGACCAGAGGAGCATAAATTTGAGGCCTGTCCAGACATCTGGAAAGACCCTCTCTCAAAAATAAAAAACATTTTTTCTGAAGACCTCACACTTACCAGGTAAGTGCTTAAGCCACTGAGCTAAATCCCCAGCCCAAAATAAGAGAGTTTTTTAAAAGGCCTAGGGCTGGGCATGGTGGTGCATACCTGTCATGGAGCTTGGGGGCAGGTTAGGGGAGGAGGCCAGAGGATCACCAAAAATTCAGGCCTACATAGCAAGACCCTGTCTCAAAAACAAAAAACCAAGCCAGCGTGGGATTACACCTGTAATCCCAGCACTGGGGGGCAGGAGGAGATTGATGGATGTTTGAGGCCATCCTGGACTACATAGGTTCTGTCTCAAAAAAGTCCCAAAAAACAGGGGTGTCAAGGACTGTAGCACCTTGGTAGTATGCTTGAGCCCTGGGTTCCATCCTTAGCTACCATGCCAGGAAAATGAAAATACAGGAACAAAATGATACAAATATTTACTATGAGACTGTTCCTAATATTAAAAATAGTGTGTCTTCCAGTAAGTAGTTAAATAGATTAAGGTATTTGTCCCCACACAATGGGGTATCATGCAGCCATTGAAAAGAAAGACAAAAAACAGAGAGGAAAGACAGCTCTCTAGAGTCTAGACAGACTCTAGAAAGGTCTCTGAGTTGGATAACTGGAACTAGGGATGTGGTTCAGTTGTAGTGCATTTGCCTAGCATGCAGGTGGCCCAGAGTTCAAGTCCAAAAACTGCAAAAAATAAGTGAGAAAAATAAGATGTAGACATTATTGTATATATTGTATAACCTCATTTACATGTTTAAAGATTAGACGTGCACACACATACATAGGTGTATAGGCTTATATTTACATATATACACATGTGTATACTAGAATATGTGCATGAATGTCTTTGAAAAAGATTCAAGAAATGACTGCCTCTAGGGAGGGGGCTGGTTTCTGAGGAATAGGAGTAAAAAGAAAGGCTTCTACTGGAAGATCCTTTGCACATTTTAAAATTTGTACTGTGTATGTAAACTGCCTAGTCAGATATCAAGGGATAAAAGTCAATAATTTAGCCAGGTGTGCTGTTGTATGCCTGTTATACTAGCTCTTGGGAGGCTGAGGCAGAAAGATTGTCATACATTCAAGGCCAGCCTGGGTTACATAGTGATGTCAAAGCTGTCTTGAACAACATAGTGATACCCTGTGTCAAAAAAAAAAAGAAAAAGAAAAAGAAAGAAAGAATTTTAACATACGTAGGTCCAGGGGTATAGATCAGTGGCACAGTGCTCGCCTGGCAAGCACAAGGTCCTTGGCACCAAAAAACAATAAAACGAAAACCACACGTATTTCCTTTAACTCACGGGTCTTCCATTCACGGAAAAACATATGCAGTGTAAAAACAACACGGCAGAGTTTAGCTCCATGGCAAAAGTTGAGTCTGACAAGTGTGAGGTCATGAGTTCTATCCCCAGTGCAAAAAAAGGAAAAACAACACAGCAGTTAAAAAGAATGAACAGAATTTTGATAGCACTTAGTTAATAAGTATTATAGTCAAGTCTTATTCTTTTTTTTTTTTTTTCTTTTTGAGACAGGGTCTCTCTATGAGGTTCAGGCTGGCCTTGAGCTCACTTTGGAGCCCAGGCTGGTCTCGAACCTGCAGTGATCCTCCTACCTCAACTTCCTGAGCATTGGAATTACAGGCATGAGCCACCCACCCTGATAGTCAAGTCTTATTCTAAGTGAAGTGTTTTGTTTTGTTTTTGGTACCAGAGATCAAACTCAGGACCTCGAATTTACCAGGAAAGCCCATGAGCCACTGAGCTAAATCCCCAGACCCTCTAAGTGAGTTTTATGTGTTAATTTGTATAATGTTCATAATAAACCTTCAAGATAGGTGAATGATATCATCCTGATATTCTAGAGAAATAGAAATGCAAATCAGTTAAAAACCTGTCTCAGATCACATTTATGGTAGAAAGCAAAGCTCAAAGTCAAGCCTAGGCCATCAAGCTCCTACTACTGCCAAATGCTTAACCAGGAAGCAATATTGGACTTCCTCTAAGTGGGTTACGGTGGGACTGTTTTTAAAACACAAGAACGCCAGGCATGGTGGTGCACATCTATAATTCCAGCACTCAGGAGGCTGAGGCAGGAGGATCCTTACCAAGTCAAGGCCAGTTTGACCTACAAAGTGAGCTCAAGGCCAGCCTGAACTGCATAGCAGGGCCCTGTCTCAAAAAGAAAAGACAAACCAACCAACAAACAAAAAATGAGAGCTAAAAAGGGAT